GCTGTAGTTGTCGGTGATATCAACAATGACACTCAATTAGATATTGTTATTGCTTGTATTGGTATATTAGACATAGTGATATGGTTTGGAGATGGTACTGGTTCTTTTGAAAATCGGGGTTTATATTTTGTTAACGCAACTTTATACACTGTAGCTATTGGTGATTTGAATAACGATACTCGACTAGATATTGTCACAGCAACCTTTGAGATTAGTTTCGTAAGTGTATCAGTCCAATATAATAGAGGTGCTCTTGCAAATTCAATGACTTATGCATCTGGTGGTGGTTCGAAATTGCGATCCATTGCTGTTGCTGATATGAACAACGATACTCGACTGGATATTATTGTAGCTAATTTCGGTACTGACAATGTAGGTGTTATTTTTGGATACGGTGATGGCTCATTTACAAACCAAATGATGATCAACATGGACTCAAATTCTGAACCATCGTCTATTACTATCAACGATTTCAATGGTGATACTTATCTCGATATTGCTGTAGCCACTTATAATACCAAACAAGTAGGCATGCTACTTGGAAATGCAAATGGATCATTTGAAAAACAAGCGATTTATCAAACTGCTTTCGCATCTCCACCGTTGGTCATATCTTCTGGTGATTTTAATAATGATAGCCGATCAGAAATTGTCGTGGGATACGATGATACTGATAATATTGATATATTTGTTGCATACAATACTGGATCTTTTACAACAGAAAATACATATCCAGCTGGTTCTGTGCCACGATATATAGCTCTTGGTGATTTTAACAACGATACTCAACTTGATATCGTGGTTGTCAATTATGATAACAGTAGTGTGAGTGTACTTCTCGGATATGGGAGTGGTACATTTTCAAAACAAGTGTCATATTCAGTTGGCTCTCTACCACTGGGTTTAAGTGTTGGTGATTTTAACAATGATAGTAGACTAGATATCGTTGTCACCAATAGTATTAATAATAGTGTGAGTATTCTTTTTGGAGTTGGTGATGGGAGTTTTGCAAATCAAATAACATATTCAGTTGGCACTAATCCATATTTTGTTGTCGTCGGTGATTTTAATAACGACACTCGATTGGATCTAGTTGTTTCAAACGAAGGTAGCAACAATGTGAGTATCCTTCTTGCAAATGATAATGGTACTTTTACTGATCAAATAACATATTCAACTAATTCCAGGCCACGAGGTCTAACTGTTGGTGATTTTAATAAAGATTATTGGCTAGATATTGCCGTTGGTAATTATGGTGATAATAGTGTGAGTATCCTTCTCGGAAATGGTGATGGTACTTTTGCAAATCAAAAGATATATTCAGTTGACTTCAGCCCACTTTCCGTAGCTGTTGGTGATTTCAATAACGACACCATTCTAGATATTGTTGCCACTACGATAGGTTTAAGCACAGTGACTGTTATTCTTGGATATGGCAATGGATCCTTCGCAAATAAAATGATGTTTCCAGTGGGTACTCTTCCGCTATCTATAGTTGTGGCTGATTTCAACAACGATAAGCAATTAGATCTTCTTGTCATTAATTATGGTGACAATACTATGAGTGTGTTACTAGGTTATGGGAATGGAACGTTTGCACCTCAGATCACATATTCAGTCGGCACTCAACCATATGGTGTAGGTGTTGTTGACTTTAACAAAGATGCTCGACTTGATCTTATTGTGACAAATTCAGGTGACAACAATGTCTTGATACTGTTTGGTTGTGACAATATAGCTTTTGTACCACGACTAACGCTTGTAACTGGTGAAGATTCCCAACCACAGTCGTTTGTCATTGGCGATTTTAACAATGATATCCAAACAGATATTGGAGTGGCCAATTCACGCGCTAATAATATTGGTATTTTTTTGGGACTGGGTAATATTACTTTTACTAATCAAACAACATATTCAACTGGTATAAATTCATCTCCATACTCTATAGCAGCTGGTCATTTCAATAACGACAATCGTTTAGACATTGTTACCGCAAATTATGGTTCTGACAGTATAAGTATTTTTCTTGGATTTGGTGATGGTTTCTTCGCAAATCAAACGATGTATTCAACTGGTTCATCTTCATCTCC